CCGATTCCCCCATACGCGTTTCCCCCCACTCTGCGCCGTTATCGACGCTCTCACACGCTCCCTGTTTTACTTACAGGTACGTACTCGCTACGAAATTTTGCGGTTGAAGCGTTTCCCATAGGCGCTAGCAATCTCCCTTATAATCTCTGCTGCTACTGCCGAGTTACCCACGCACCCGACTCATATTAACCGACAATTCGACCGGGACGCCACCTTTCCCGTGGGGTACCAACTAACTTTCTTGGAGTCAGTCGAACCCCCCGATCCGGGCCTTTACTCAGGTCTATCCTCTTTGGTGCCTACCCTAATGGATCACTCGATATGAGGGTCGAGCTGAGCACTCAGTCAAGTGCTAGTCGATGGCTGTTCGATTGGTTGATTATCGATCAAATAACGATCGACCAATGATCAACTAGCAATCGACCAACAATTGACCATCGACCGTTAATCGACTAATCATCGACTAACAATCGACCACCAATCAACCAATGATCGACCATCAATCGACTAACCATCTATCCAGTGATCAACGAACGATCGACCGACCATCGACCGAGTGCACTAGTCGATCTCCTATCGAGTCCCCGTCGAGTAGCCATCGATCGATCCACCAGGGTAAGCCGACACCCATCCAAGTACTGGGCAGACGAAACGCTGCTTAGCCTGGATGACCGCCGGAGCCACACACTCCCCGCGTGACCACTACAGCCACTTGTCACATTTGTATTTTATTCAATGCATATGGGACGGAGGTAGTGGAGGGGGTAGTGTATAGATACACGGCAGCGTTTGGCCACTTTTGTACAGTCAGAGTCAAAACTTTTTCTTGGCCGATACGCTGCCGCGTATCTCGATATAGGGATCATAAGAGAGTCATATGGGTGTCACTATACAAAACAATAAAAAATAAGAGCAATAAATTTCAAAAATAGAGAATTCATTCGGAAGCATATTGCTAATTTGTTAGTAACATAAACTAATATACAGAAAATGCGATTATCCACTTGTTTTTGTGGGAACAAAGTTCCTAATTATTCTTTTTCCTGAATTGTTGTCGTTATCGAGAAATTTTTATTAGAATTTGATTTTTGAGACAGTTGTGGGATGATTTTTTCTTGGAATGAATTCGTTTGGGATGAATTGGTTCGGGATAAGTTTTCTGGAATGCATTCATTTAGAACCCAACGAAATTTAATGGTAAAACCCGGGCATTCGCTGATGAATTCTGCTGAAAATTCTGTTTCCACGTCCATTCCGTTGAAAAACTTTGTAGCTGTTTTGCGCTGAAAAAAATGTTCCCTAAAAATGATTTTGTAGATATTGCTCTTTCTATATAGCATATCCTGCAGAGGTTGTTCCTATAGAAATTTTCCAAGTTTTTTGTGCTTGAATTTTTTGATGTTAGAAAAAAGTGCAGTTGAAAAAAATTTTAAAAAATCTGTACAGTAAGTAAGTTAGTAAGTTGTACAGAAAAATTGAAAGCCAATTTGTTTAAAAATATGTTTTCAATCGGATATGTTTATATAGAGAAACAGGCATTTTTCATGAAAATCGGCGAGAGTTGAAAAAAAAATTAAAAAACATTTTGACGGAATTAAATAGAATTGTAATTTTTTTCGTACGTGCTTCCCTGTAGGAACACACATGAACAGCGAAATACATGAGAATCGGTCCCTAAAGTTTCCACTCACCTTTCTCTATAAAATTATTTTCACAGTAGCCACCGATATCATGTAAAATGTTATATTATGTTTTAAGCTTAAAATTTTGTCTAAAGTCTATAAGAAAGAAAAAAATTCCACCAGTAATTTGCAATTATAGAAAACAGTATTGGATATTATTGTATATGGATGTTTCGACTTGATAATCTTACACAAGTGTTTTTCATCTATTCTTAGACACGCCATCATTACTCCTTCTCTAGTAAATTACATACCAGCTTTTTTCTTCCGTATTCTTCCTGGGAGGGATATGTGTCAAAATATATTTTTTGTCACTGCTGCTACGTTCTTCACGTGTCCAAAAGTGCCTTTTGTCTACGAATAAACGAATAGTATGTTTCGTCATTAGGCCGAAAAAAACGCAGTTCGGCCACTCGTAAAAAATATTGTTCAACACATATAAGACGGGAATTTTCAACTCGTGTGATTGGCAACCCTCGGCTTCGCTTCGGGCTGCGAACTTCACACTTGTGAAAATTCCATCTCACTCGTATCGAAATATACTATTTTGTCACTGCTGTTACGTACACCACGTGCCTTTTCGTTTACTTGTAAACGAAAAAAGATACAGTTTCGAGAAGTTCAAATCCAATGAATGAAAACCATTTTTTGTTGAATATTTTCCAATCTCATTGAATTTATTATCATGGTATCAAACGAGGCAATTAAGGAAGGAAGTGTGCAATATGTATTCGAAAACCTGTCGCTAATTTCGTGCGGCCGATTCAGTCTTCCCACCGTAACTAAAATAATAATTGTCCAAATCCACTGAATTTGCGTTAGAAATATACGTATTCATGTTATCCAGACCGAGTTCGAACATGGTGTCGATGCCATTATCAGTTTTCGAATTATAGCCAAAAAATCATGCGCCAACCTTGGACCAATTTTGCGCCAACCTTGCGTCAACCTTGGACTAATATTGTTATACATCGAATTCAATGCAGCTGGCCTCCCCGCCTCTCCCCCCAAATTTTCGTAAAAATTTGCTATCTCCCTTAGTCTTGGAGATATTTTTGAAAATCTCACCGACTCAACTTTTTTGGTTGTCAATTCTCAATGCATCCTCCCCCCCCCCCCCCCCCCCCCC